CCATGATGTGGAGGAGATCGCCGGGACCCAGACCCCCTATGGGGGTGGCACCATGGTGGTCCAGCGTGTGAGTAGGCACCCCATTCTTCCCAGCACCTGCTGTGACCCTCCTTGGCCCTAGCACTGGCCCCCTTCCCTCTGTTCCTTTAGACACCTGAAGAGGAGCGAAGCCTGCTGCATGCCGACAGCAACGGTTACACAAACCTGCCAGACGTGGTCCAGCCCAGCCACTCGCCCACTGAAAGCAGCAAAGGTCAAAGCCCCCCCGTGAAGGATGGAGGCAGTGATGTAAGTGGGTGCAGGCTGGTCCATGGGACGAGGGGAGGGCACTGGCAGTGGCAGATCAGGGGGTGTTGGGGGTTACTGTGCTGGGCGGGCAGAGCACCTGGGCCAGGGTTCCCCTCGGGGCACAGGGAGCCGAGGAACAATAGAAGGGGGGGCACAGGCCAGGGTCTCGCATGTTGGCCTGACTCCCACTCCTGCCCCCACAGTACCAGTCTCGGGGGCTGGTGAAGGCCCCTGGCAAGAGCTCGTTCACGATGTTTGTGGATCTAGGCATCTACCAGTCCGGAGGCAGTGGGGACACCATCCCTATCACAGGTGAGGACGGGAGGACGGAGTTGCCATGAGGCCTGGAGAGGGCCAAGGTGAAGCCCCGGCGATGCGGTTCACAAAGCAGGTGCTCACGGGGTTGGCAGCTCACGGGGCAGGCGCTGGGGGCCTGTACCTGCTCCCTCACCTGAGCACCTGCCCTGGCACAGAGGCAACAAGAGCTCCTGAGCCTCTTACCTCCCGAGAGGGAAGATGGTCAGCAGCACAGGGCCCCACGGGACCGAAGGAGCACTTCGCCAGGCCTTTGGCTGTTCCAACTCCTTCACGCGCCTCCTCCGTTCTCCGGTCTTTCTCTTTCCTTCTGAGTATTCCAAGGAGCCGAGACTGAGTGTAAGGGTAGAGTAAGAAGAAACGGGGTAAGGGGACAGCAGCCCACCCCCACTTCTCTCCCCCCGCAGCCCTGGTGGGTGGAGAGGCCAGTCGGCTTGATCAGCTGCAGTATGACGTGCGGAAAGGCTCTGTGGTCAACGTGAACCCCACCAACACACGGGCCCACAGTGAAACCCCCGAGATTCGCAAGTACAAGAAGCGGTTCAATTCCGAGATCCTCTGCGCGGCCCTTTGGGGTAAGCCAGGGCAGGGAAGGAAAAGAGGGATCTGTGTGCCCCGCTGCCCCTGGTCGGGTGAGGGCCTGGCTCTGCCTCTGATCTGCCCAAGGGCTCCCATTGCAGGCGTCAACCTGCTGGTGGGCACGGAGAATGGGCTGATGTTGCTGGACCGAAGTGGGCAGGGCAAGGTGTATGGACTCATTGGGCGGCGGCGCTTCCAGCAAATGGATGTGCTGGAAGGACTCAACTTGCTCATCACCATCTCAGGTGTGTGTGGAGGACGGGGGCGGGGTCAGGGCCTGGAGGAGGGGGCTCGGCTCCTTGACTCTCTGTCACCATCTTCAGCCGGGGCAGAGGGCACCCTTGGTCCAGGAGCCGGCAGGTGGGGCCACTTTCCCACCCCTTGTGGTACGCAGAAAAGGCTGGCGGGAGGCCGAATCTGGATCTCCAACGAAGGGAGTGTGTGTGTGTCCTCGCCCCTCAGGGAAAAGGAACAAACTGCGCGTGTACTACCTGTCCTGGCTCCGGAACAAGATTCTGCACAACGACCCCGAAGTGGAGAAGAAGCAGGGCTGGACCACCGTGGGGGACATGGAGGGCTGCGGGCACTACCGCGTGGGTGAGGAGGCCACAGCAGAGTGGCCAGGGCACATTTGTTTATGGGAAGAAATGAGGGTTTGGGCCTAATGGTCATGAAGCCAGAGACGTGGGGCCTGGCATTGGGGGTGTAGGACAGACCTGTGGGAGGGGCCCCGCAGTCCAAGGGAAGCCCCAGCATCCCTCTTCTTTCCTGCCCCCAGTGAAATACGAACGTATTAAGTTCCTGGTCATCGCCCTGAAGAATTCCGTAGAGGTGTATGCCTGGGCCCCCAAACCCTACCACAAATTCATGGCCTTCAAGGTAATCCCAGCCTCAGCCCCCCAACACTGCTCCAAGGTCTGACTCCTCCACCTGTGTCCCCTGATCCCTTCTTTCCTCCACAGTCCTTTGCTGACCTGCCTCACCGCCCCCTGCTGGTGGACCTGACGGTAGAGGAGGGACAGCGGCTCAAAGTCATCTACGGCTCCAGTGCTGGCTTCCACGCAGTGGATGTCGACTCGGGGAACAGCTACGACATCTACATCCCTGTTCATGTAAGCTCAGCTGGACTGTGGGCAGAGGGGGGCCGCCAGTCTGGGCCCCAGACTCAGGGACTCCAGCCCTCCTCCTCCCAGATCCAGAGCCAGATCACACCCCACGCCATCATCTTCCTCCCCAACACCGATGGCATGGAGATGCTGCTGTGCTACGAGGACGAGGGCGTCTACGTCAACACGTACGGGCGGATCATTAAGGATGTGGTGCTGCAGTGGGGAGAGATGCCCACTTCCGTGGGTGAGTGGTGCTTGTCCCCGAGCTGCGGGTCCCCGAGCTGGCCCTAGAGTGGGCCTGGGCTGCAATCCACTCACTGCCCCTCCACTTCTTTCTCCTCCAGCCTACATCTGCTCCAACCAGATAATGGGCTGGGGCGAGAAAGCCATCGAGATCCGCTCCGTGGAGACAGGCCACCTGGACGGGGTCTTCATGCACAAACGAGCTCAGAGGCTCAAGTTCCTGTGTGAGCGGAACGACAAGGTGGGTGCCCCTTGCCCCTGGAAAGGGCTGGGGCCTGCATTGGTCCGGCTTCCAAAACCTTAGGTTCCTACCAAGGAGGTGACCATGGTGGAGTCTTCCTGAAAGGGGCCCCTTGGGGAACACACTCAGTCACAGCCTGCCCTCTCCCTCTCTATCCAGTTTCTTTCACCCTAAAGGTCTGCCAGCTGCCCTCTTCCCCAAGCACTTCTGCTCTTCAGGGCGATAGGGGTAGTTCTTCCTTTTTTGGGGGGTAATCCTCACCCAAGGATTTTTTTTCCCGTTGATTTTTAGAGAGGTGGGGGGGGGGTGTGGAGAGAGAGACACATAAACTGGTTGCCTCCTGCATGTGGAAGATTGAACCTGCAACCCAGGTATGTGCCCTTGACCAGGAGTCGGACCTGCGACCCTTTGTTGCGTGGGCCTTTGCTCTAACCACTGAACACCTGGTTGGGGCGGGTGGGGTTATTCTGAGACTAAACTGCAGTGTCTCTCTCCTTCTCCCAGTTAATGGAACCCCCTCCCCCCAACCCCTCGGTGACTTCTCTTCTCCCCCTCTCCCCCCAGGTATTCTTTGCCTCCGTCCGCTCTGGGGGCAGCAGCCAAGTTTACTTCATGACTCTGAACCGCAACTGCATCATGAACTGGTGACAGGCCCTGGGCTGGAGCTCTCCCCCGGGGACCCAGCTCTCCCCCCACAGCCAGACTTCCCAGGCCGCCCTGCTTCCCCCTCCTTGGGCTTTTGCTTTTACTGGTTTGATTCACTGGAGCCTGCTGGGAACGTGACCTCTGACCCTTGATGCTTTTGTGATCACATGACCACCTTCTTCCCCAACATGTTCTCTTCCCCAGAACTGTGCCTGTCCCATCTTCTGGATAGAGGCACAGCTTCCCCTTCACAGGAATCGAGTGGGCTTAGCCCCACCCCCCCTTTTCTCCACTTGAGAGGAGAGTGCTTGGGGCTTGGACCCCGTACCCCACTGCTGCTGACTGGGCAGGGCCCTGGGCCCCTTTATTTGCACGTCAGGGGAGCCGGCTCCCCCCTTGAATGTACCAGACCCTGGGGGGGTGTCACTGGGCCCTAGGTTTTAGGGGGGTCACCAGCCACTCCAGGGGCAGGGACCATTTCCTCATTTTCTGAAAGCACTTTAATGATTCCCCTCCTCCCAAACCCCAGGGAATGGAAGGGGGACCCCGCCAGCCAAAACATTTCTCCCTTCCCAGCCCTCATCTCTTCTAGCCTCTGTCCTTTCCTGGTGGAGGGAGGGAGCATGGAGCTCTGGCCTCCACACCCCCTTGCTTGCATCTGTATATAGTGTGAGCAGCAAGTAGCCCTGTTCCCTCCCTGTCCCTACCCCTCCTCAATGTAGTGGCCTTGGATATCCCGTTTGTTAATAAAGACTATTCAACCAGCTCCCACCACTTCAGACCCCTTTTTATTCTGTTTTCTCTCACAGTCCAGCTACTCGCCAGGGCAAGCAAGCAGAGTTAGGACGAAGGGGGTAGGGTGGGGTGGAATCTACAATGAGTCTTGGGGATCCAAGTAGGTGGGGCAGTACTTGACCAAGAAAACATAGAAGAAATGACGGAGGGAGGGCCGGGGCATCCTCAGCCTTATTCTGTGGGCCTGTGGGGGCCTGCCCTGAGGGCATTTGGTCCCAGCAACCGTGTCTCTCCTGTGTGGCCATCGAATAGCTGCCAGCTTAGAAGCTCACAGGGCTAGAAGGTCCTACGCGGCTGGAGCCTGGGCAAAACTGGAAGGTCAGCAAGGCTAGGTCTAGGATGGTCTTTGCTTCCCAGAGGACTGTTATTCAGGAGCTGCTTGAACAACCATCTTGACTGGCTCAGTGGTGGGCAGGGACCTGTGAACCAGGAGGTCACCGTTCAGTTCCCGTCAGGGCACGTGCCAGGTTATGGGCCCCATACCCAGTGTGGGCATGCATGCAGGAGGCAGCCAATCAATGATTTTCTCTTATTGATAGTTGTATCTCTCCCTTCCTCTCCAAAATCAATAAAAAGTTTTTAAAAAGTCTTTCCTCTTTCTAATCCCAGCGCAGTGACCAGACCTACACACTTGTGCACAGGCAACCTGTGTTTACAAAATACTGATTTATTATCCGTGGTGGTAAAGGATCATAATATAGCAGCGGTAGCAACTTGTTTTTCAAAATCTGTTTCCTCCTGGAGACGGATAGGAAAGTTGAAATCAGGCGGCCGCCAGCTCAGGTCTACATGCACGGCGGGTAGGGCAGGTCCGGCACCTGGTTCAAGTAGCCCCCCAGGAAGATGAGGCTGGAGCCCACACTGAAGAGCACCAGCGCCGCCCAGAAGCAGATGTTGTCCAGGGCCTTCCCCATGCGCACCCAGTCGGACACCTCCTAGGAAGGGGCAGGCGTGAGCTGAGTCCCCGCAGCACAATAGCTGGG